TAATAGCAGATTTTGGGGGGTTTAATCAGAGAATGTATAATCTTTAAACAGAGAAAACCAGGATCCCTGGTCATAATCATCTGTATTCCCAAGTTCACCAGATGGTAGACAATGATTAATGCCACTGTCCATAAGGACCTAGAAGTTGCAAGTGCCAACCCAAAAAGATGAGAAAAGCAATACATGGTTATTGTTCATTGTTCAGTTTCCATAGTAGCAAGACTTTTTTTTCCTACCACACAATTTCAAAATGGCTTCTCTAAAGCCTGTTCCAAAGCTTAGGAGAACCTGGAGACCAGGCTTCTTTCAGCTTTTCTTTTTTCATATGGTTTTGCATGATACAACCAATTTTTAATTCTGCTTCTGTGGGGTTTTTTGTTGTTATTCTGGAGTTTATTTATTTTGTTATTTTTTATGTTTCTTCCATTCCCACTTGCAAAAATTTGGAGCCCACTTAATCCTGCGCCAGGAACAGATTTTGCCTGATCGTTACAAATAAGTTAAAAGTCTGTTCCAACAAACTCCCACAAGCTGAATTTTTTGAACCCAGTCTGGTTGTTGTGAGCATGACTATCTTGCTAGCATATCAAGAGGCTTTGCAGATCCCAGAAGCATACTGCTCTCATTGCAAGCCCCCAATCCCTGGCGCACACAAGGTCCTTCTAGCCAGTTACGGGCTGCATTCCAGCTGGGATGCATTTCATTTGTTACTGGGGATCTCTATTCGGCTAGAGGCCTGGGTCCAGGTACCTATTTATCACTAGAAGATAGCTAGGGAGGGCCCAGGAGACCTTACAAGGCTGGGCTAGTGATTGCATCTGTTCTTCTATGGGTAAATTCAACTTTAGAAGATGTGTCCCTGATCTCTATGATAAAACAGCAAAGAACGCAAGTATCTAGTGTCATGAAACTAAATGCCACACTGAAATTTCGTCCGAACACTCAGTTTATTAACTGCTAGCAGTGAGAGAAGCTCAAGCAACTCTGCCTTGGTGTGGCCAGGCTCCAACTTTTATACAACAATGTAAACAACCTGCGTGCACAAACAACGGTACCATATATGGTCAATCAGGAAATGGATTCTTTATGCTGACACATCACAGTACTTTTCCACTTTCCTTATACTTCCTGCTCACTTCTGTGCCTACATAACAAGTTCACTCAGAGTTAATGGTCTCCGGAGCCATCTTAGGTGACTGACTTCCACAATCCCACCTTTTGGCCAAGCTACGCTCAGGCCAACCCAAAATGCTACCATTAACTTAATACATTCTAATAGCCATAAGATTTTTTTATCTCTTCTTCTCTTTCTTGTTTCTTCTCAATCTCCTTCATTATCATCAACTGGATTCCAGTGGTGCGTACTTATCTAGTTGCAGTGGTTTTACATAGTTTACAACAACATATAATCATTTGAACACAGACAAATCCGACAATGAGTATGAATACTCCTATTATAAGGTACTTGAGCATTTCCCTTATCCACCAGGTTGACATTTGGGAGCCATCCCCAAAAGGACAGACTAGCAGGTGGATCTTTTCCTTCTTCAAATTCAGCCAAAGCCTTCTCCATTGACTGGATGTGCTCATTGATCTCTTGGGATTTGTCTGATATATAGGTACAACATTCATTCCCTACTAATGCACAGGTTCCACCCTTGCATGCAAGTATAATATCTAAAGCCATTCGATTTTGCATTGCTACTAGTCTGGTGACATATACTTCTAAATGTATGTCCTTTAAAGCACCTATAGTTTCATTGGCAAATCTTCAAAGCTTTTACTTAAGGCATTAACTCCCTGCATGGCCTTGGCAGCTCCATAGCATGGAAAGGTGGACCCAAAAGTCCCTTGGACATCATTTATGTATGGAAGGGATGTTGGCACAGAGATGCGAATGGTCCTTTTGTTTCTTACCCGTCCCCCCAACCTGGGTTGCACCCTGACACCTATAGTTTCATTGGCAAATCTTCAAAGCTTTTACTTAAGGCATTAACTCCCTGCATGGCCTTGGCAGCTCCATAGCATGGAAAGGTGGACCCAAAAGTCCCTTGGACATCATTTATGTATGGAAGGGATGTTGGCACAGAGATGCGAATGGTCCTTTTGTTTCTTACCCGTCCCCCCAACCTGGGTTGCACCCTGATACCTGGAATAATAATTCCAATATAACAACTACCTTTCCAGTTGGGAGGGAGCCATTTGTAGGCTTTTTTCCCCACAGATAAAGTAGCTGCCCCCAAACACTATGCAGGCTAATGACATATTGCATGTCTCTGGGGCAAAATAGTGAAATATTCCATCTGCAGTGACATCCAGGGTATGATTACACTGGCTGGAGCCCATAAAAATATTTCCGTCATTATTCCTGTGGCAGATATATCCTCCTGTGGTATAGCTCAGTGCCAGACTGGGAGGCTGCGCCCAACCACTAAAGTGCTGTGGCATTGCTGGTTTAAAGGGTTGCCCAGCCATGATAGTGTCCGGGTATTTCTCGCACCCACTGATGTTTAAATCATAACCTCTCATTTCCCAGCACCAATCTCCTGCTGTCCATGATACCCTTATTAGTGGTAATCCTTGCTCAAGGTATAGGGGAATATGGCTACACAGCCAGCAGTTACTGAGGTTGAGGCTGATTTTCAGACTTTTTACCATGGTAATGTGGGTATTGTTAACTTCCGGCATTTGGGTACAAATTTGTACTACCTGAACTCGGCTGGGGACAAATGCAGCACAGAGAAATACAATGAGAATATTAACTGGTTTCATGGTGAGGTAACGGGCAACCACAGTAGGTTTTGATAACCAGCTGCACCAAAAAAAATGGAAGGGTTGTATGAAGAGGTCTTTAGGTAGTGAAGTAACCCTGTCTCGTTCCCACTTTTGGAAAAAGTTTCCAGTTTCTTTTAAGGGTTGGGACTGACTCTTAAGGGCTTGATCTTAACAAGTTTCAATTTTAAACCCTTTAAATGAGAAGCACACCATTGGCCATCTTCTTCTGGGGAAAGATTGCTGGTACTTTCCCTGCGATGCTCCTCTTCTAGTCCAGGGGCAGGGACCTCCTTGCACTGGGAGACGTGAATCCACGCGTCAACACCGGTGAGCTTCACTGCTGTGTAGGATGTAAGGAGAACTTGATAGGGTCCTTTCCATCGGGGTTCAAGGGCAGTCTTTCTCTGGTGATGTTTAACGTATACCCAGTCTCCAACCTCAAGATCGTGGCACTGTTCTTTTACTGGGGTCGCGGGATACGTATCTGTGCCCGCCTCTGCTCTACCAGGCGCTCTCGTGTGGCCTTAGCCCGGACTATTGATCGAGCCTGTCCTGGGCTTGCGAGTGGACCCCAAAGACTACCCCGGCTGACATCAGGGGATCCCCTTAACTTTCCTGCCATGACTTTGAATGTTACCTCAGTGGAGGGGTTCCCCTTCGAGGCAGCCTCCAGGGTCATCACACCTCTCGGCAGGCACTCATGGGGCTTTGACCTCCCCTACACCCCAGCCACTCACCACCTTGGGTCGCAGGTCTTCTGGCCCTTTGGCATCCCTGGCTCCACCCGGCTTCTTCCTGTGGCCCTCCAGCCATGAGTCTCAGTGCCCCCAGGTCACGGCTCAACATGAAGACTTTGAGGCCCTCGGACCTGGATCCGACTAACCCGTATCCCTAGTGCCCTATCCCAACCACCCTGTGACGTAGCATGCAATCCCCACCACCGTGACAGCCGAAGCGATGCGGCCAGTGGGCCAGGACGCCACAAAGAGTGCCCTTAACCTATGGGCCCTATGGTTCCCCTGTGCCTAGGTGCCCCAGCCCCAGTTGCTTGCTCCACTCGGGAATGGAGTCCTGGTCAATTATCCTTTGGTCGATTATCCTTGGGATGTAGTGGGGCCCGTCTGCCGCTTGATCCATCCCTGCTTGGGGTCTTCTGCTGCACCCCGTGGCGATCCCCGTTGGGGTCCCCGTCGGCCACACCCTTGTTACCTCCTCTCCAGGGCTTCCCTGCCGGCTCGCCAGTCGATGCCTTCTCCGGTCCTGTAACCGGCTTCACTGCCTCTGCTGGCCTTGCTGCCAGTGCTGCTGCCGGTGCCTCTACCGGCTCCTCTACTGGCTCCGCCACCGGCTCCGCTGCCGGTGCCTCTGCCGGCTCCGCTGCCGGCGCCTCCGCCGGCTTTGCTGTCGGCTCTGCTGCCGGCTTCACTGTTGGTGCCTCCCCAGGCTCCGCCCCCCAGCTTCCTGCACTGCCCGACACAGCAGCTGTACCGCTCGGGGTGTGGACTTTCCCCTTGAGCCTCCACTCACCTGCCACCCTCCTGCGCCCTTGGGGCAGCTTTTTATCTCTGCCGGGTGGCGTCTCCAGCTGATGTCACCCAGCCCCAGCTGAATATAAGTGCGGCTGATGAACCGCATGGGTGGTTTTGCTACGCGCGTCTCCCCATGCCTTTCAGACCCTGCAGGAGGTAAGTGGGGGCTTTCTTTCACTTTGGCCTGGGGTCTTTCTGTAACCCCAGCTCCCCTGGGACAGCATCCTTAACCCGAGAATGAAAATAACTAACAGTACGCATTAGAGCTTGACAATACTTTTGCATATAACTGTGGGTTAAATTTAAATCTGGAACAGGGGTGGGAGTGGATAGCAACCTCATTGGCCTGCCAGTGATTATTTCATAAGGGCTCAGCCTGCATCTCCTGGACAGGGTGGCTCTCATAAACATGAGAGCTAATGGCAGTGCGGTCACCCAATTTAGTCCTGTTTCCTGACACAATTTTGCCAATTTATTTTTCAAAATGCCGTTCTTTCTTTCTACCACTCCCGCACTTTGGGGATAATAGAGGCAATGAATATGCTGTGAAATGTTAAAAAATTTGGACATATGCTGAACTATTTTACCCGTAAAATGGGTACCTCTATCACTGGATAAGGTGGCAGGTATTCCCCAGGTGGGGATAATGTTGTTAAGGAGCATTTTTGCAGCAGTTAAAGAATCTGCTCTTTTACAGGGGAATGCTTCAATCCATCCAGAAGAGAGACATACAATAACTAAAACATATTCAAACCCAGAACATTTTGGCATCCGTATAAAGTCCATTTGCAGATGTTGGAATGGTCCCTCAGGTAAACCCCTGTATCCCTGTTCCACCTTTACAGTTTTACCAACATCATGTGCTTGACAGGTGGGACAGGCAGCACAGAGAGAAGCTGCTGTTGGGCCGAAATTTTGGGCATACCAATTTTGAGCCAGAGTTCTTTCCATTCCCTCCTTTCCCACATGCAAAGGCCCATGAAGCACATAGGCAAGGGAATGGTGCAAAGCTTTTGGGGCGACCAAGCGGCCGTCTTGGGAGCGCCGCAAACCGTCTGAATGTAAAATACACCCATCTGCAACCCACTTGGCCTTTTCAGGTTTTGGAGCCTGATCTTGAAGAAGTGCCAGTTCCACAAGGGTTGGCAAAGGCACGGGTTGCAGGGAGAATAAGGTGGCATCTGCAGATGGTGGTGACCCAGCAGCAGCTTTTGCAATTTCATCAGCAAGATGATTTCCGTGAGCTCTCTCAGTATTAGCTGCAGAGTGACCTTCACATTTTATGATAGCCAGTCGTGATGGTAGTAGAAGGGCCTGTAAGAGCATGGCAATGTAAGGACCATTTTTTTATGGGAAGACCCGTAGAAGTTAAAAATCCTCGCTCTTTCCGTATTTGTCCGAAGTCATGAACAACACCGAAGGCATATCTAGAGTCTGTATATATCGTGGCAGACTTTCCTTCTGATAAGAAACAAGCACGAGTGAGAGCAACCAGTTCAGCCACTTGAGCAGATTTAACCTCTGGAAGAGGTGCTGATTCAAGAGTTTCGTGGAGAGTAACAATAGCATACCCTTCAACTAAGCCCCCATTATCAGTCCTATAACATGAGCCATCTGTAAAAAGAGCAAGGTCAGGATTTTGTAACGGGATATCTGTTAAGTCTGGTTGAGGTGTCGTTAGTGAGGAGACTAACTCCAGGCAATTGTGGGGCTCCCCTTCTGTGGGGAGAGGTAAGAGAGTTGCAGGATTTAAAAGGCTGCAGCGGTGTACTGAAATGTGAGCCGCGGAAAGAAGCAAAATCTCATATTTGCTGAGGCGGGCATTTGAAAGATGTTGGGTCTTAGATTGCAGTAACAGAGTGAGGAACATTAGTTTTAAAGGACTTTGTAATACAAGATTTCCAGACTGTTGAACCAGTTTAGCCACTGCGGCTACTGCTCGTAAGCAGGGTGGGAATGCTTGGGTAACCGTATCCAACCAGGTACTGAAATAGGCGATCAGGCATTGTTTTCCGTTGTGTTCTTGTGTAAGAACCCCTAAAGCGCAACCCTCCTTTTCATGGCTAAAAAGAGTGAAGAGCTTAGAATAATCTGGCAATCCTAGCACAGGGGCAGAAGAAAGCTTGCGTTTCAGGGAAACAAAAGCATCATCAGCCTCAGGGGGCCACGGAATGGGGTCAGAAATGTCCTTCTTAGTGATGTTTTGTAAGGGTTTAGCCATTTGTGCAAAGTTGGGTATCCATTGATGACAGTAACCTGCTGCTCCTAAAAATCCGCACAGCTGCTTTTGGGTGGTGGGCCTAGGGTAGGACAAAGGAGTCGCTTTCCTGCAGATAACTCGTGACCCAAATACTGGACCTGAGGTTGACAGAATTGCAATTTAGCCTTTGAGGCTTGAGGGCCTTTATTCGCCAGTGCATTCAGAAAAATCAAAGAGTCAGTTTGACAAGCTGGTTTGGTAAGGGAACACAGCAAAAGATCATCCACATATTGAACTGGAACTGACCCATTGGGGAAAGTGATGTCTGAAAGGTCTTTCTGCAAAGCTTGGGAGAAGTAAGATGGGCTTTCAGAAGAGCGTTCCACGTATATTGTTGCCCTTTATATGTAAAAGCAAAAAGATATCGAGTATCGGGGTGCAGTGGTACTATGAAAAACGCACTGCACAAATCAACTACAGTAAAATAGGTGGCCGTAGGGGGTATACAAGCTAAGATGGTAGCCGGATTAGGTACAACAGGAAACTTTGGGATGACAATAGAGTTAATTGCTCGCAGGTCCTGGACAAACCTGTAGGTTTTCCCATCTGCTTTCCTTACTGGGAGGATTGGGGTGTTACAAGGACTAGTACATGGTGAGATGACTCCCTGTTGCAATAAAGATTGAATGATCGAGGCTATACCTTGTTCAGCCTCTGGATTCAAAGGATATTGTGTCACTCTCGGAAGAAGTTTAGTAGGATCAATAATAACTTTAACCAATTCTGTATTTAGGTCCCCTACCTCTGTGGGTGAGGCAGACCATAAAGAAGGATTAACTTGATCGAACAGGGTTTCTTCTTCCATTGTGAGGTTTGCAAGGACGGGCATGTATTCTGCTAAAGGTATGTCCAGTAATTCCTGTACAGCCTGAGGAGATGACCCGTTTGTTTCTGGGAGTTCTAAATAGATACCCTTGGGAGTGCAAAAAGTAGAGCAACCAAGTTTACAAAGTAAATCCCTTCCCAAAAGATTTACAGGGGAAGTGGAACTAAGTAAAAAAGCATGTTCTGCTGATACGGGTCCTATGGACACAGTTAAGGGCTCAGTTACTGGATGGGGAACGAGCTCATTAAAGATTCCTACTGCTTGAACTACCTGTCCAGTCAAGGGATTGTATTGCCGATACAGAGGCCCCAGTATCAACCAAAAAGGGGGCCACTTTGCCATCGACCAAAAGAGAGATTTCTCCCTTTTTTGTTAGGGGGACAAGGGGTGCAAGGAGAGAATGGTCTTCTGCCTGGTCCCGTTCCCCAATGGCCCATCATTGTGTTGGAAACTGGGCAGGTGTTGGGCAATTGGGACATCCATTTTTCCAATGCCCTGGTTGCTTACAATAATGACGATTCTGTCTGTCTACCTGATTCATGCCCATTCCTCTTCTTCTGCCTCTCCGTCCTCCACCGCGTCCCTGCCCTCATGGAGGGCCCTGAAATTGCTGAATCTGAAGAGCTAACGATTTGTTATGTTGTTCTTCAACTTTCTCTTTTAGAGATCGCTTACAGTGTTCCACCACACTCTGCAACTTGTCCAAGTTTTCCATTTCCCATCCGACACAGATTCTCTTCAGCAAGTTGCCTATGGGCGGCAGTAATCCATCTACAAAACAAGCTGCCAAAGCTCCAGAGGCATTATCATCTGGTTCATTAATGCCTGAATGTTGATTAAAAACAAGTGCCAGTCTAGCGCTATAATCTCCGACTCTTTCTTCCTCTTTTTGTTTGCAAGCCCGAATAATGGACCAATTGGTCTTTTTTGGGAAGGCTTGCGGGATGGCCTCCGACATTTTCCTGCAAAGTCGGCAGCATTGTTCTGCTTAACGAGCTGTAGGACAGCCATTTTCCATTTCACACTTTTTATCCCATTCCGCTTCTTTTAACCATTTGTCCAATTGAGCCGGAGTGCAAATAAGATGGCAGAGCTGTAATAAGTCTGCCTCCAAGGGTTGATATGTTTCGCACAGCAATTTGAACTCTTCCTGGAATTTGTGGGGATTTTGGGTTATTTTTGGAAAGTCCTTAGCAATGGAGTAGAGTTCTGACCTAGTCCATGGTTTATAGAGCAGGCTTGGGTTCCCTTCAAGTCCTGGGAAAACCTTAAAGGGGCTTGTATCTTGTACAAGTAGGTCATCTGGATCCATATTTGGGATTTCAGGGGGGTTTGGGCCTTTTGTCTAGTGTGGTTAGCCACTGGAGAGGATGCAGAGGCCAGCTTGGGTTTTGGCGGGCGCTTTTGGCTACGCCTTCTCAGGGCCATCAAAATTTCCTCATCCTCATCTTCGGAAATTTCTAAAGGACCCCTTTCATCCTCTTCAGGACCCTCAATTGGGGGCATCAGGCCAGAATCATGTGGTGGCGCACTTGGTGATGAGCCTTTAGATTTTTTATATTTATCTTCTAATTTCTTATTAGAGTCTCATAATGAGGCCAATTTGGACTCTGTGTCACTTTAGAAGCTTCACTATACCAATCAAAGAACACTGACCATTGGGTGTCAGGGGTCTTTCTCCCTCTGGCCTCCAATGCTCCTCGAAGCTGAACAATTTTGTTCATATCAAAAGTACCTTGCAAGGGAAATTGCTTAGATGGATCATTCCTGGTATACCAATTCCATTTGTTCAGAAGACTTATAAGACTTTTCTCCATAATGGGTATACATAAAATAACCTGGGGTACCCTTGGGGGGGGGGGACCAAAATCGAGCCTCCCCCACCCATTACAGAAACCAGGAGAGATTTACCAGAGACACAAAAGGAAGGGGAAATGGGTTCGTCAGAGCGATGCCTGGTGCCAGAGACACAAAAGGAATTCACAAACTAGAACACGAGCCCTTGCTTTCAAGATTGGCTCGTAAGTGGCCAACTTGGGGCGGCTACCCGTGAACCAGACATAAGGGGAAAGACACAAGACAGTCTCTCAAACATACGTACCCCTACCGTTCCAGAACCCAGACCTGACCTGAGCTGAGTTTGAACCAACAAGTTCAATGTCATAGTCAGGCACAGCCGTCAGCTTCAAAACAGCCAGCCCAGGGAAGACAGGGGAGGACAACCTCACCTCAGTGCCGGCAGTCTGCATTTCCCAGGCGGCCACCGAACATCGGGCAGCTGGGTTGGACAGTTGACATCTCGGTAGAACCTCCAAATTGTCATGGAACTAAATGTCACGCTGAAATTTTGTCCGAACACTCAGTTTATTAACTGCTAGCAGTGAGAGAAGCTCAAGCAACTCTGCCTTGGTGTGGCCAGGCTCCAACTTTTATACAACAATGTAAACAACCTGTGCGCGCAAACAACGGTACCATATATGGTCAATCAGGAAATGGATTCTTAATGCTGACACATCACAGTACTTTTCCACTTTCCTTATACTTCCCGCTCACTTCTGTGCCTACGTAACAAGTTCACTCTGAGTTAATGGTCTCTGGAGCCATCTTAGGTGACTGGCTTCCACACTAGTTATGAAGATTAGCAGGAGTCCAGCAAGATTTACACTGCTGTTATTCATCAGAGTGGTGCCTCCTGGTGTTGTGTGGAGCCAGAAGTACTTCTCACAGTTAGTTCCTTATGGCTAGGGACAGAAGTTGCACATAAGCTGGTTTAAACGATCAGAAACTGGTTTAAACCTGTAACAGAACAGAAGCTCAGCGCACATAAACCAGTTTCAAAATGGCTGAAACTGGTTTAAGATAAGCGTGGTTGAATGTAGTATCAGACTTAACTGATTTTGGTCAAACTGGTTTATGAAACTTCTGTCCCAGTCCCCGTCCTAGTTCAAAATAAATCACAGTCCCCCAGCATGCTTTCTAGCCCTGTGCTGGGCTGTGTTCACACCTCCTGTAGAGAGCAGGCTGGCTCTGCCCCGCTGCCCCCTAGCTGGAGCAGTGAGGGCTGGCTGAAAATGGGTTGCAGTGGGGACAAGCCCAGCTGGGAATACAGCCTAGTTTACAGGGGAGGGGGGGATGGGGGGGACTGTCCCCCAGGCAATCCCTGGCAGGGGTCTGGGGCCAGGGAGGGGGCTAAACATCCCTTCCCCCTGTCAAATTTATTGCAGGCTGCGATTGTGGACTACAGATCCCAGAGGAAGCTAGAAGCAGGAAGAGGAAGTGATAAGCAACCCTGCAGAGTCCTGCTGCTGTAATTGTGAACTAATTATCCCAGAGACCTTGGGGGCAGCAGGAAGAGGAAGTGGACACAGCCAGAGAGCCTGCTCTAGAGCCCCCCAGCTTCTGGCCTGGGCCACTGCAGGCATGTGGCTGCATTCCCTGAATCAAAGGTAAATGTCTCTTCCCTTCTGTTTCAATGTAATCTGTGCATTTTAGACTAACCTGCAAAGACTGAATCAATTCAGCCTCAGGCTTTTTGACTGTCTGTACTTAGCCTATGAGACTACTTTCTGTATCTAAAATTCCATGTTATAGTGCCTGTAGATTTGCTCAAAGTTTGCTGTGTCAGTAATGCTGTTTTGCAATGAATTTCAGATGCTTTCTGCCTTGTAATTTGCATGTTATTGTAATGTGGTTCACAATAAGTTTTAATTGACAGAGGTTTTGCATTGCTAGACTGTTTAAGAGAGCCCTGCTAAGATTTGTGTTGATATAAAAAACCTTTTATAAGATTTTACTGAAAAAACGGCCATCAGGAGATTTCAACTGAAAAGAAAATGCCTTGCTTTGTGAAGATAAATTTGCACTGAATTTCTGATTAATTCTCTGTGTAATCAAAACACAGCACATGCTGCATAAGAGAAACAAGACTTGCTCTTCAATAGACACAGTTCTTCTAAGGGATTCTTTTCTTAATCTGGTGCAGTCAGGTGCTGAGCAACCAGCATGGCAGCCAGGAGCACCCTCATAGTGTTACTTTAAATTGCCAATTAATCAAATCAAGAGCGAGACCTTATAGAGGGGGGATAAGGCAAAATGTTGTGTTTATTGATTACATGATGCAGATACATAAGCTTTGACACACCAGTCAATCAAACAGACATACACAAGCATGCATACATACAGACAAAACCACTCCAGTAAGATGATATAGTTACCAGCAAAGGTTGCTCAATGTTAGTACTGGGTGGCCAGCCCAGGCTCATTGAGGGTGATGGGAATGGGGGTGAATAGACATGCCTGTGCTCCAGGAGGTTGCAGAGAGTAGATTCTCCATCATGGCTCATCTGCATCTCGCTTTTATAGGGATTTCAAGTCTTTGTTCCACATTGGGGTTTTTCATGCTCAGTTTTTAATTAGAGGCTGTTTCTTATCCTTCTTCTGGTTATCTCAACTTGAGGTCATTCCAGTAAAGTTGGAATCTCTGCTTGAAGCG